GAACTCAGAGTCTTTGTCATATGTTCCAACAGGTATGTGAATGTTCTTATCTTCATTGTAATAGCATTGTATAGCTTCAGGAAACATTTCATTAGCGGTTAAAGCAAGAACGTCTTGTTTGACACCTTTGCAACGTGCATGGAATGCAACTTCATTTAAATCGTTAGTGAGTAAGTCTATGTAAGTCTTCTTTCCACAAAATATTGACTTGTATGCTAAACTTTGTTTATCTTTTGTGATTTCTGCAAAGTCGCTATGAAATTGACCAAGGTTCTTTCCTATAAGTTCGCGACCGTATCTCTTCTTAAACTCTGCTGCAAGCTTTGGTATGTCTTCATTGAAAATATGCATGCTATCACAGTCCTGGTAAAATATTTGAAGTCCCATATCTTCAGCAGTACAGAATACTTCACACATTATTCTCTTCGACATAGACAGAATGTTAACACCAAGTGGACAGAAGTTAAAGTGTCTGCAAATGCTTTTCGTTAGCTTGAAAATAGTTTTATCCGAACCATCCAAACCTTCGAACTTCACTATATGGTTGTAGTTTCTGATGGCATATCTTATAGCATCTTTGTCATTTACTATGGTTATTTTTGACTCAATAGGAGAAAGAATAGTTTTGCCATAAATACTGTTCAGAATGAGCTTTATATTTTCTTGCAAAGGATTTCCTTCTTTCTTATACTTTAACCTTAACTCAAACAACTTCTTTACTTCATCTCTTATTCTAATATCTCTGTTTCCATCGTAATAGTATCCTTGCAACACTTCACATTTGACACCTTGATATTTTATGAGGTCTTGTAATGTTATATGGTCAACATACATTAAACAGCAAGTGTTTGAACTTCTGGGAACGTTAAGTTCTGGATTTAGGTCAGGGTCACAAACTATTAAAGGAAAGTGTCTATGTATTCCAATCTCTGTTATCTTAATGAGAACAAAGAAGCCAGACATAAACTTTTCACCAATGGGTTCCTTTTGGTCGTCATCGAATAAATGTCTCATGAGATACTCTGTGCTTAACATTTCTTTCTTCAATACTTTCGGTATACCTTCTAAAGTATAAAGTCTTGCTATAGCTGATGGATATAATGAAACAGCGTCGAAGTCAGCAATGAGTTTCTTTTCGCTCCTTTGTTTAATGTTATCTGACAACATACATCTTCCACCTTGAATGCATCTCGAAATAAATTCTCTTGGTTTATTTGAGAGGTCATATAAATTTCCATTCGGGAAGTACACTCTGTTCTCAAACAATTTGTTAGCAATAGAACAAATACTAACGTAGTCATAAACGTTTAAATCAAATTCTTTCAATATGTCATTGCGGAACTTAACAAAACCTTCTCTTAAAATTCTTACGTCCTGTTTGCAATAAAATGAGCTATATTTTTCTAAATCGAAATGGTTTTCATCTATTCTGCAACCTTTGATGGAATCTATGTTTTTCATGAATGTTTCAATATCTTTTACAAACTTACATGCTTCAGAAATGACACCAGTTCTGTTGTCATTTGCTAACAAAACACTGCTGTAGTAGTTATATGGAAATACTTCTTTCGGTCCTGTTTGTAAGTTAAACATAGCAGGAAATAGTTTAAGCTTCTTATTTATAACACTGTAAGAGTCTTTTATAATAATTGCCCTTCCTTTATATAAGCCAGTTATTTGCATTGTTCGTGAACCTTTAATGATGGGAGTTCCTTTCACTTCTGTCATGTGTCTTAAGATGAAGTTTATATCATAACTGAGGTTATGGAAATATATTAAACTCTTGTCAGGAAGTCGTTCCAAAAATTCTGTTGCACAGTTCTGACCCCAAATGCTTTCACTCACTGAACCATCTTCACTGTCATAACAGATGTTAAAAGCTTTATGAAAGCCATCGGTACTGCACTCAAAGTCAGCAAAGAAAACGTGCTCAGGAATGAACTTGCACTTAGCTTTATTTACTTCTTTTGACTCGGCTTTCTTCTTCAGTTGTACACAATACTTTGGAGCATATGTCAAATCTTTAAATGGTGCAAGGTTCTGTTTATATAAGTCAGTCGTATATGTGAAAAGTTCTCCATAAGAAATAGGTTCAAAATATTTACACTCCCACAATGTTTTCATAACATCCCATAACGGTGTTGTTCTATCATAACGAACTACATATTTGTTCTCTCTCTTTGTATAAATCTTCATCTGTTTCTCAATGTTCATTCCACCACAAGCTTTGAGAATTTCTTTATAGTTTCGAATGAAGTATGTTGTCATTGGTAATCTTTCATTTAGCATGTAGTGGTCTTCAACAAGAAGTAAGTCAATAGTTCGAACAGTTTCACATTCTTTTGGTATGTATCTCTTTATTTCATTATGTCTTGAGTCATTGAAATAACCAATGACAACATTAAATGCTATACCTGTTGCGTCAGAAATTTCTTGTACTTTACTTTGAGGAAAGTCTCTAACACGAATGACTTCTCTCATGTGGTCAATAGTTTCTTCATTTACTCCAGCCTGAATGCAAGCATAAACGAAGCAGTTATCTTCTGTCATAAGTGTTGCAGTTCTTTTGTTCAGTTCATTGAAGATTTGGTAGCGTTCAAGATTTATAGGTAATGTGCAAAGATACTTCCAGAACTGACCGCTTCTCTTTTTATAAAACTTCTTTTCACCATTATCTTTCCAAAAGCTTTCTATAAGTGCTGGGTTTCCTGTTTGCTTAAGAGCTTCCAAAATGGCTTTCTGGTCATTTGTCAGTGTGCTTTCATCTCTATATGGTCTCTTTTTTGGTTTGCCTTTCTTTACATCTGACATCGTTAAGCCTTCATATTCTGTTAAATCATACATCTTTATTTCGGTAAGATTCTTTATGTTTGTCAAGAAGAAGTCATAGTGCATTTCAACAATACCTGCAGCATTTGCTTCTATCTCTGATATAAAGTTCTCCTTCAAGCGCTGATGTAGTAATGTTCCAATATTATTGAGGTTTAACGTAGAACATTCATACTTTCCACCAAGTTTATAACAGAGTAGGTGATAAAAGTGCATACTCTTAAATTAACCTTAAATGTTGATTTTTCGATATTTTCGGTATTAACCTTATTGTAAATTTTTCCGGTGATAAATTTATCACACTGAGGTTATTTTTCCGGTGAGATTTTTAACCTTGATTTAATGAAATTAATATATATAAATTTTATTATTTTTAATTTCGAATGAGTATAATAAAATATTTTTGAACCTAATGTCCTTATTCCATCTTTGAAGGCAATATTAAATTTGGCACAAAGAAGTTTAAAGGAAGAGTAAGCAAGATTAGATAATTTGGACTTTTTTTAAAATTAATGAATAAACAGTATATTTTTGAAGTGTAAGCTTATTTACCTGAAGCTATATTACTTAATATAACATTCAAAGTATTATTGCTATTTATTGGAGAACAAATTTATGTAATTTTCACATGAAAATTGATAAATTTGTATTTCCTTATGATAATCAATTTTTGTATTTGTAGAGAGTCTCCCTGTATGATATCAAGACTTGGCTATTAGTCTTTATCCATTTTTGAAAATTGTATTGTAAATTGTAAGAATTTCTGAATACTACTACTATAAAATATAATTGCTTATCAATGTATATTCTCCCTGCATGATATCAAGACTTGGCTATAAGTCTCTATTCATTATGAGTATGACCCCATTTTTTTACAAAAAGTGCCGAATTGCAACTTTGTCCCAATCTCGTTTATAACATACCATCCATCTCTGTTGTGAGTTTATTTTAATTTTCTCAAAGAGTCTCATGAAAACCTTACCGAAATGTTTGTGTAAGTAGTCTCTGTTTGGTTCATCTAAAGCTTCGATGTTAAAGTCAATGAGTCTATTGCCTGTCTTAACATTCCTCTTCCTATTCTCTTCATCTTTCTTTAACCATCTCTCACCTTCTTTTGGTTTGTCGTCAATGGAACGAAGGACATCGTTAGCTTTGCGAACTTGTTCTATAGCGCTCTTAAACATCTCTCTTCTCTGTTGTTTCAGTGTGTCGTCTCTTCTTCTTGTTTCACCAACGTTTGCATTTGTTATGTCAAACATTTCTCTTCTTACTTCATGAGGTACTGAACGTCTATGATATAAGTCAATAGCAACGTCATTTAAAGGAAATGCTCTTGCATGGACTTCGTCCTCGCCGCGTTGCGGCTTTATGAACTCATGAATTCTATCATAAGTTATTTCACCATTGTAGTCTTTAATGAAGTCAGCGAGTGCTTTTTTGTTTGTTGCGTAATGCTTTGCAACATCTATATTAGCTTCTGTAAGAAGTTGTTTTATTTCCGAGTGTTCTAACTTAGACAACTTCCGATACATCTTTAGTAGGAAATAAAAAAAATATTTTTTGAAAAAATTAGATTAGATTTTTTTTAAGTTATTTTTCAAAATAATTTAATATTTTTATTTTAATGAAACACATGCAAGATTACAAGTTCTTTTCATACAATGCTCTCGCTACTGCCATCAAGAATGAGTTCAGTAACGCGATAAACGTGAACGTTATATTCAATAAAAAGTCTGTGAAAGGATTATATACATCGTTTGTTAAACCATATGCTATCGTTATTGACAGAAAACGTTACACACCACATGAAATAGCAGTATTACTTAAACAGAAAGGAATATATGTAAATATTAAAGATTCTCATTATACGATTATGAAGAACTCTAACGTTGAATTTTTCAGCATTGTTTTAGATTTAACGCAGCAGAAAGAATTCAAGAAAGGAGAAAATGTCGTTAAATATTATCCTTCATCTCTGAAGATGATAACGAATAAAGATACACTCCATAAAATCCTACCAGTAATTGAGGAAGCAACGATTGAATTTGATGAAGAAGGTATGGAAAGCCGCAACGCGGAGCCCATAGTTGAGGAAAGTGATTCTGAGGATTTATAAGAAAATATATTTTTGTATAAAATTTCAAAGCATTGAACAAAAAAATTATTTTTGTTCATTCTTCCTCTTTGAAGTTATCGAAATATTCTGTTATTTTTTCCTTCAGTAATGTTAAGTCTTCTTTGAATGTAAGTATTGTACAACCTTTGATGTCATAGTGTGTTTGAGGATGAGTATTTTTGACAATTTCCTTTATTTGTTCATTCGGTGTCATTGAAATCGGTAAGTTTTCACGATAGAACCAGTTTCTGTCAGATTTGTAAATCTTAGCTAAGTCATAAAAGCTCTTGTTGTTTCTTCTGACTAAATGCAACATAACCATATCTTTATCTTCTTCATTTTCCATCTCTTCAGTATATATCATATACTTATAACTCTTTTCCTTTCCTTTTGGTACTGAACGCGGTATTCTTTTCTGTATGCTTTTGTCTTTGGATTCAATGACTTCATCTTTTGCATGAAGTTTCTTTTCCATCTCTCCACGTTCTGCTTTATATAGTTCATCTAACATCATGAAAATATAACAAGCATAACGAGGTGAAGCCCACATTGCTACAGCATTTACTAAAAGTCTATGAACATAATAACCTTTCAAACCAGGAGCCAAATTCTTGCGATTTTCGTACGGAATCTCTTCCCCGGTTTTCCGAGGGAAGCAATCATATGAGGAAATTCTTCTAAAAGTTCTTTTGTCTGTTGGTTTTCAAACCAATGATATGCTTGCTTTGTAGAACGAAGAGCATTCATTATACTTTGCATTTGGTACATGTCATCTTTGACTGAACGAATGAGACGTAACTGTTTGTTATATTGTATGTACTCGTATTCTTCATTTATAGCTTCATGAACGATAGCAATTGTTGTGTTCTCTGATGTTGACATTACTGTCTTTACATACAAAATAAAAAAATAAATAAAAATAAAATTAGCGTTATTTTTTCTGAGATAAACTCTATTTCTTCACAACATTAAATTTTATCCTGTATGAAATGACTTTAAAAAGATTATTGATTGACTTCGAATACTATCTCATTGACGCACTGACAGACCCTCAAAACTGTGTTGAAAGTTCTTTAAGCTTTAAGATTGAAGGTACGACGCATTTTGTCTTCACTTACGTATTGAAAGAATATGACCGTTATCATAACGAAGTGAATCAAACACTAATAAAATTTGTAGATAAAAAATTGGTTAACAATGAATATTTTAAACGTGAAGACCCAAACACTGCTGGAGATGATGAAGAATACAGACAAGTTATTGAAAAAAATAACGCAAGATTAGATGCAATAGAAAAGAAGTTTAATGAATGTCTTACAAACACGTATGAATATCTTATGCGGTGGGAAGCCAGATGGAGATAAATTTACGTCAAATATGCAATTTATAAAATCTTATGTCGACGGGCTACGTAGCACAGTGGTCTAAGGTGGTGTTATGGAGGGGTCAGAGTCTGTGGTTCGAACCGCGACAGCGCCGTATTTTCTTATTTTCTTTGTTTGTCTTGTTTGTCGTGAATAAACAGTGTCATAAAAGTGCTCTATCTTCCACAGGAATAAATAAAAAATTTACTTTATTTCTTCTTTATTTCTTTGTTCCCGTGGAAGAAGGGTTTTTGCCGTTTTTTCTCAGCCGAAATCAATGATTTTTCATTTTTGGAATCCTTAGCGAATGAGGAAACTTTTCTCTCGTGGAAGCTTTGAACAAAAATAATGTTTAGGTGAAGAGGTGAGATTTCACCTCTTTTTTCACCTAATTTTTCACATGTTTTTTCACAGGCGTTTTACATGAATTGTACGATGTATATTTGAAATCCTAAACAATTTCGTAGCTTCTATTTCTTCGCTGAGGATATCAAAAGTTTTAACAATGCCGAAGGTTTCTTTATACTTCTTCTTGACGTCAGACAGAAGGAAATCTTCTGCTGTTGGATAGTTTTTGTCCAGAAATTCTAACATGTCCATTTTATCTTCTGCTGGCTTTTCTACTTCTTTCTTTAAGTCTGCATAGTCGTTTCGCATTCTTTCTATCTCTTTGACTGAATAGTTATATTTCCTAATTGCTGCTTTACATTTTGAACATTGCGGATTCATTTTTGCGTTATACATTGAAATAAAACCAGCTAGAACAACTAAGGCGTCAATGGTTTTCTTTAACTCAAAAGCTGCTGGTTTTATCTGTTCGTTCCATACTTTGCCTCTTCTATCTTTATCTCTTATTTCCCAAACACATTTTGCAACTAATGAAACAAAGTTGTCGTATGTCTTAAACTCCACCGATTTGTAAAGGTCAGAGATGTTCTTATATACCATGTCGCAATCTTTGTCCATAACTTTATGGTTGCAATGATATCCTAGAAACTCATAATTTACTTTACGTATGAATTTCTTAATTTCTACTGAGTCAGTTGCTTTGACTTCAATTTCGTCGAATTCAGGAATAGTGAGTTTTTGTTGTTGGATTTCAGGCAATTTGGGTAAATGGTCGATGAGGTCCTCCATTTCATAAAGATACTGTTCATTTGTTTCATCTTTCGCACTATAGTCTAAATTACTTGTTAAAAGTTCTTGCTTTATTCTTTGTATTTCTGTTTCGAAAGTATATGAAGAAGGAATAAAGCTTTTCATCTCTACCAACATTGACGTAGGATTCATGACTAGCGAGTTTGGTGCTGTAGTTGTGGACAGAGTCCCGCCGTTCGTGGCTTGAATTGTTGTTGTGCCGATTGTTGAAATCATATCTTTTATACAAAATAAAAAAATAAATAAAAATAAAACTAACTTTATTTTTCTATCTTAAGGAAATTCATGAAAATTCATGAGGGTGAAAAAACAGGTGAGAAAACGGGTGAGATCTCACCTCTTCACCTAAATTATATTTTTGCTGAATTCAGCAACAAAATGAACGAGGTCAGGATGTATGTAAATACCTTTGAATTCATTTATAACACCCTTAGTAAGCTCATAAAATGCTTGTTTTGAGGTCGAGCCACTTTTGGCTCGACCGTATTCTTTCATCCAAAACTCAGGAATTCCTGCATGAATTTTGTATAAAAAGCAACAGTCTGAATTCCGGCGGTTGCTATATTCTTCACAAAATGCCTTATAATACTCTTCACCTAAACATTATTTTTGTCTGATTTACATCTAATGAAAAAGTTTAGAAGAATTTTCTTATTCTTTCTGGCTTATTTTTGTCTTTCCAGTACTCCCGCTCTAATGGTCCCAGATGTGTTGGCTTTGACTCTCTCAAGTTCTTAGATGGTATAACATCTTCAACACCTCCTTCATATCTTACTTTATAAGTGTCATCGTTTATGTTATAGCCAAGTATTTCAATAACCACTCCTCGCTTTGCTTCGTCAATGGTTTCAGCAAGTTTGCCATTACTACTTTCAACTAATTTATGACGAGGGTAAAACGCAATAGAGTCGTCAGCAGCTTTTATAAGATATCCATTACCTTGCGTAGAGTCTACGATATAATAATTTCGACTTAACCTTAAACGTTTCTTTGTCAACGGCTTGTCGTCAAGAACTACACGAACTTTTGTACCAGGAATGAGGGTAAATTGTGTTGAATTTCTGATATTTTGTGTTTGGCTTCGTTTCTTTTGTATATACTTTTCTTCTTGTTGTTGTGTCATTGAATTTGGTGTATGTCCTGTTGTAGAATGTGTTGAGGAATTATATACTTCGAGAAAATGTTTCATTGTTTCTTCGGTAAAGTCTCGCTCTTGGTTTAAATCTCTGAGCGTTCTTATGAAGCGGTTTATGATGCCGAGTATGTTATGGTTATGGTCTTCAGTAGTGTAGTGAGTTATGTTATGCTTAATGAGAAAATCTGTGATTTCATTGCTGAGGTATGCACTGTCTTGGTCTGATGTTAAAGTACTTGGGCTATGTTCTGCTACAAACTTTTGTAAAACTCTTAACACTTCACGAGTTCCTTTATTTTTCATTATATACGCAAAAGCTTTACGAGTGTTAACATTAATGAAGATGAGGAATGGTTTATGTCCTCCTTTTCTGCTTTGAATGAGAGTGTCAAATTGGTATGCGTCAGGAGCGTTGGAGTAAATTGGTAAAAAGTAGTCGTAAGGGTTTATTTTTGTTTGATGTACAACATTTTTGTCAAAGAACCTTTTCACTTCAGCTCTGTTAGTAAATCCCCAACTCTTTGCAGCTTCATTGAACTTCTTAAATGGCCTCCATGGATGTTGTTCGAATACTTCTTTCAAGCTCATTTATGTAAAGTTAAAGATTTTATTCTAGGCTCAAGCGCGTTCATTGAACGCGGTACCATGCGAATATAGTCACAAATGGTGGCATATAATCTTCACCCGAGCCTGTTGGATTTGTTGTGAAAGTATGGACATGATTTCCTCCCGGTTCAGTTGGTCGAAAAATCTTTTTTGCTGCATTGTTATAAGATGGAGATAAAACGTCATGGCCAGCTTCATACTCTGAGTTGTATAATGGGTGGTCTCTTAATGAGTGACTATGGTCGCCAGAAAAGTTTGTCGTTCCTGTATGAGTGTGCGCAGGTATGTTTGCTTCAGTAATTTTCTTCGAACCTCCTGTTTGCTTTGAAGAGTTAGCACAGTATAAGAATTTATCTACAATCTGTTCCCACGTACCAAAACCTAAAACTGTTTCTGGATTTGTTGAGTTCATTGATGTATATAAAGAACCAACAGGATATAATGTTTGAAGTATTTCAGTCTTTAATGTTTGAAGCTCTGTTTTGTCTGCTTTCTTATCATATAAATCTTGAGCAGTGAATTTAACATTATTTTCATCATCCATGACATAAACATTTTTACAGCTAATTTCTTTCTTCGTTGTTATGTTTTCATTCGATGTTAAACCTTGTGGAAAGTTAGGAGGTTTATAATATAATGCATCCCCACCAGTTCCGCCAACCGTTCCTTCAATACTTTCTATAGCAACAGTTGAGAAGGAGTTATGTGTATGTTCTTTATCTGCTTTTTTATCTAACATTGCTGGTAGTTCATGTGTTTCAAAGTTTCTGACATGACCTTCAATGTTCATACATTTACTATTTAAGGAGTTTAGTGTATCTTTTACGCTTGTACTTGGATTCTCTAAAGGTGCACTTGAACCAAGGGTATAGTTCAATATTATGTCGTCTGCTCTAACAGTAGTGAAGGATTTATGTGTATGGTTCTTGTCTGCTTTACTATTTAATGTAGCTTGAAGTTCATTTATATCGGAGATATTGTGTTTATGAGATTTCAAAACTTTGTTCGTTGCGTCAAGTTCATCTTTGTCAGCTTTACTTTTAATAGCATCTTCAAAAGTTATTTTTGCCTTAACTCTCAATGTAAATCTTGGTTCAACTAATACACCGTTAACAAAGAAGTATGAAGCATAAATTTCATTGTTATAACCAAATGCTTCTGGTGCTTTACCTGTGTCATACTGTACAGTACAGTGTATGTCATAACCTTTAGCACGAATGAATTTATATCTTCTTTCATTAACATCTTTTGTTTTCACTTCTTCATCCTGTGTTAAATATCCATGATAGTCCGTTATAATCTGTTCGTCTGAACTTATATAATGAACATGGTTTTTATCTGCTTTATTATCTAATTTCTCATTAACATCATTCACCTCTAATTCAACTCTTCCGCCAGAACTCTTATTATCATTAATCTTTTTCATTAATTCAGTAATTACGTCATAAAGACTATATTCTGTTTTCGGTTCTGTAAATAATGAGTCAAAATTTCTTTTCATCATTACATCACTTACATTAATGATATCAGCTATACCTTTTTCATTTATTCTCTTCATTAATTCTGCAATAATGACGAATATATAATCTGTTAATTTATTCTCTTCATCGAGGGTTATAGAATGTTTTGAATCATTAACTCCTCTTCTTCGTGGGCTTCGCCCTCACCGCTACGCGGCTTTATGTCTCTAACCATCATCAACGCAGCCATAACCGGAGGGTTTGTTGCTATCTGTTCGAAAATCTGGCCGTTATGTATGGTATATCTAAATAATTTCTTTGTGTTTGTTAAAACATTTGAAACAAGTCTTTTAAAACCATCTACAAAATTTCCTGTTTCACCTAATGTTCTTGCAGCATTTACAAGCTCACCCATTCCCGCTTTTGACCCCAAAAACGTCCATATTGCATTTATTTCACTCTGTATTGTTGTCCATTCAGCGAAACTAACACCCGCATTCGCTAAGCTGAATATGAAATTCAGTGGATCGAACTTAATTCCACCTTCTTTTTCAATTTCAATGAACTCACTAACATGAGATTTTAAGTATTCTTTCGTTAAAATTGTTTTCCCCGATGTTATGTCATTAACGAAACTATCACCGTCAAAAGTTAACGAATTCAATTTCGTCGTTGATGCTTTTATTTCATACACCGCTTTATCAATAGTTTTTGGCTCACCTTCTTTAGAAGCATATGAAACATTAATGAATGAATTATATGTATTCGTGAATGAATTAAAATCAATGATTTTCATTAATGACGCCTTTAATGATTCATTTACTGTCGAATCCCTTAAAGTAATTAATGAACTGTCATTTATGAAAGGTACACTGCAACCCGTCGAGTTTGGATCAAATGCTGTAGTTGGTGCAGGAATATTAATGATATAAGTCATTAAATCATTAAGTGACGTAAATAATGTTGTCGTTTTTGATTTAATTTCTTTAGCATCTGTTATATACGGTAATTTTATTTCTGTAGTTTCTGAATTAAAGATATTCGCTAAAATGTTTTGTAAACTGTTTTGAACAGCTGTATAAACCGTTGAATCCGGAACTCTTACGATTTCACCGTCCTTAATAAAAGGCATTGCACATGGTGTAGTGCTTGGGTCAAATCTTTTTGGGTTATGATTCAACATATATTCTAATGCTTCATAAACAGACCTATATACGGTTGTATTATCTTTTTCAATAATTTCACCGTCCTTTATAAACGGCATAGTACATGGAGTTAAAATAGGGTCAAACTTTTCATAGTCCTTCCATGTTATGTATTTCTCAGTATTTCCATCAGTGATAACAATATATTTGTCAGTAAGTGTGAGAGAGTATTGACCAAAATATAAACGTTTAGCTCTGTCAGCTTCATACGCATATGCAGCTATACTCATATTTTAATAAGAATAAAATGTTGTTCTATTTGCAAAGTACAGACCCAAACGAATACGGGACAGTAAAGCTACAAACAAACTTAGGTCTACAGAATGAGGCGCTTGCATTCAGAATGGTTGACTTCAATACTATCGCTTCATTCGTTATAACAGATGAAACAGATTTCATGGAGATTGAAATAGATGGAAAGAAGCACGAAATAAGATTTCACAATAATGTAGAATATAAGATGGAAACATTAGCTGGAGTGTTAAATGCTCTCATAAATACTACAATAAACAAGGATAACGAAGAAAACTTAATGAATGTTAAACTTATTGCAGGAGTTTTGAAGTTCAGTTATGCGAAGGAGTTTAAGATAACACGAATGAGTCATAGAGTACAACTTCTTTTGGGTGCATACCATATGACATTTCCTTTGAAAAGTGTTGACAAAACGATTGAGATGAAATCTGTTCCATACGTATGTTATGGTAATTGTTTATACATTGAGTCTAAAATAGCTAATGTCACAGGCATTTCAGGAGTTAATAGTAAAGGTTCAGTAGAATATAAATCCTTCTGTTATGCAGTCAATTCAATGTTCATTCCAAACGTTCCTGTCATAGCAACTCATTTAGGTAAATGGGTTCGCATTAGTCCTCATAATTTGAAAGACATGCAATTCAGACTTGTTGACTTTCAAGGTGAGCCTGTAGAACTGAAGGCACCAGTGCGAATGACTGTTGAAGTTGACTTTTTAGAAAATATTAAATGCAACAGCTTACAAGAGAACTCAGAGCTAAAAATATAAAGTATGAATGTTATGTATTAGGTCATGAACTTTGGTTGTTGCTGTTTGATGAAACAAATGAATTAGTTATGTCAGTCAAGAGAACAGAAAAAGGCGTCAAAGGCGCCGAGCGCAAAGCGCTATATTGTGTTAGTGAAAACTGCACCAAGTCAATAAGATTAGGTTTGCATTATGAAGATGAGTTCGATACTGTTGAAGAAGTTTTGGATAGATATTACAAATTGCTAACTTGAAATTTTTTTGACTGACGGCGCAAAGCGCCAAGATGGGCTCAAAGAGCCCTCCTGACTGCTTTAATTTACTAAAACATATTTCAAACAAAGTTTATATTCTGTTGAAAGTTTTGTATATTCATTCGAATATTTATACTTAAACTCAACTCCTGTAGTTCCTGGTGTTTCAATGATGCGGATGTTACCTATTTTCATGAATAGTGGAGTTTGACCACAGCATTCGATTTCAGGGTCGAGATAGTCAATGACACATTGTTTCCCTGTTATTCGTGAGATAACATTTTCAAGGTCCTCCTTTGTTAGAATTATTTGGTTCTTGCTTATAAGATTTGTCAAAAGCTTCTTATCGTCTTTGAGTAAAATTGTTTGGTATAACTGAAGAAGGTAATGGTCTACGTTATCTGAAGGATTTGTTTGAACATTTGTGTAAGGATTGTCGTTGGCTTCTCTTGAAAGAATTTGGTCCAGTGGTGGATACTCTAACTTAACATCTGATGTAGCGTTAGCGTTTGAAGCTGAGTTTAAATTCACGACTTAAGTTCTGGTTCTTTCTTTCAAACACTCTGAACTATAGTTCTTTATGACAATATTGTTTGTCGTTCGTGAGTCAACATTTGATGTTGGTTCAATTGGAACATTAACGGCACCAGCTAAGATGGATTTGCTTCTCATTTCATATAGAATAAAAACCTTTTATATGTATGAAATGAACAATATACTCGACAAGGGTTTGAATGTAAAGCTAACGAATGAAAATATTGTTGAATTCACTGAGACAGGTGCTGTGTATAAAGATGTAGAACTACTGAACAAAAGAGCTAAGGGAAGAAGCAGGAACATGAACAAAGGGTGGAAGCCTATAAAAATTTATGTCAATGATGGCTCAGGAGGTTCAAACATAAAGTATGCAGAAAGTTATAGAGTTTATGCTCTCAAAGGTGAAAAGCCTTCATTTAAGAACAGCTATTCTAACGCATATCCTCAAAAGCTAACGGATGGGGAAGTGGATGATATGAATGACAGCAAAAATATTAACAGAAATGGCGACAGAGATGCATGGAATTTGTTTACCATCAGTCAATTGAAGGTTAAACTTTAAAACAATGTTGGTCGTTCCCATGGAATATTTTTGACTTTAATGGTATTAGTCATGATATGAATCTCAAGGTATGAACGAGGAGAGATGAGAGACTTATATGCTTCCCAAATTTCTTCAAAAGGTAATGTTATACCTGACTGTTTCCAAATGAGTTCAATATCATAACGTGAGAAACCTTGAAAGATAACGAAGTCAGTTATGAGACGTTTTATGTTTAAAGCTAAAAACCTCCATGTTTGCATAAGTATTGCTACAGTTAAATGGTAATGTCTGACTTTAGTTATGATGTTAGCTAATGGTGAGTCAGGCTTTGAACTAAACCTTTCCAGCGAAGTCGTCACAAACTAATAAAGTGTTTGAAGGATATTTTTGAAGGGGTATTTTGAAAGTTTTGACAGAATGTAGTTTGTAAGTCGTTTCATATCGTAAACTCCTGAGTACTGACGTAAGTGGTGTTTGTCAATAATTCTTTCCATCTCCTCAGAAGTCTTTTGCATTCCTGACTGTATAAATTCAACGATGGCATAATATTTCCTCTTACGTCGAATGTAACGTTGAAGAAATTCAATGAGTTCACTGTCTGGAACTTTAACGACAGAGGCTTGAACTTTTGACATAAATGTTTTCGCTGTTGAGTCCATAGAGTCTGAAGTTGCTGATATAATGATTTGGTCATATGAGTCGTTTCCTAAACGCTCTGTTATGAGTATATGACGAATGAGGTTGAATGTCTTACCTGAACCCATCTTTCCACAATAGAAATAAACACCATTTGAACAGAACTCATAGTCCTTACTGAAAGGAAGAATGAGAGAAGAGTTAAGTTTGTCTGTAGTTTCATTCATGTCTTCATCTACGTCATGTATTAAATGCTTCATTTTATCTCCATTAAAAATGCAAGTCAGAAATATTCAGAACATAGCACCGAGTCTAACTGACAAGAGTATAAAGATATACTATGAACACGTTATGATGAAACCTAACCAAAATTCAAGAAAGTCAGTATACTTATGAATATCCAAGACACTGGGTAGAGTATGTAGGAGGTGAGAAAGCTATTGAAATCAGACAGGTTCGAAGTATTCCAGCAGGAAGAACAATATTATTGAAGAACTTTAATGTTTTGAGGTATAATGATGAAACAAAGAAGCAAGATAGTTTTCCTGTTGCTGTGTATGTGAACTTAGATACAGGAGATGACATGAAAGTTTTTAATACAAAGCTTCAAACGGTAGTGAGAGAACAACTGACTGCGGAAGGACATCCATTACCTTCAGAAGTTACCATAGCATATAATTTTGAAACAAACTCAATAGATTTTAAAGTCGTCTCTGCAAAGAAGTCAGGTTTTACATTTAATGAAGCAGATGTATATTCGAATGAAAACTTCAAAGCTATTGCATGGTTAGATAATGACGATTGCTTTAAGAAAATATTTAAATTCAGTGACTCAACGATGTCAATAGATGACCTTCGTGGAATGTTACCATCGACGTTTACAGTTGAAGGTTCAGCAGGATTGCTTACAAGATTGTCAATTGGTGGTATTGGTCTCGTGAGAACATTGTTATAAAATCCAGTATAAGTGAATTTGCTGAAGAATCTATATTATGTCTTTCAAACTATATGTATTCGCCGCCAAAGCATTATAGTATAACAAACTTTGTCAGTAAGTTTAATATAAGACTTGTCGAACCTTCTTCAATGAAAGATGTTGTGCTACCTAAAGATGGAAAGGATGGACTCATTATTGAGATGATTTTAATAGCATATTAAATGAGCTTGTTCTTGAAGGTCATTCATGATGAAATAACTGTTGTAGAAGATGTTAGCAATTGTTCAGACATTTTGAAG